GCCAATGTAAATGGATTTCAAATAATTGGACTTAAAATAATTATAAAACATATATTTTACTTAAGTTACTAAAATTCGGATTTAAACAAAATAATAAGAAATTGATACTTTAATTATTCGAAAAATGAATTCGATTCGAAAAAATTAAATTCGTTTATAACGGCTAGACGAACTCGTTTTTACTTTAACGTTAGGGTTTAAAATTTAGCGACACGTTTTTCAAGAAAAATAATTTTATATTATTTAAAAATTCTTGATCACTACACTATCTTTCACCATGTCGACAGTTATCGCACCATTTGGAGCAGAATTACTCAAAGAGACGACTAAAGTTTCCTAGTTGTCTGATAAGGAACTCAACAGAAGTAAAGCCTGCACCTTATCATTTAGGATAAGCTTCATGGTAGACAATTCATTCAACAACTCTTGAAAGCTACACAAGTGCTTTGCAACATTATTACCATCCATGTACTTCAAATTTACAAGCATACAGACCCTCTAATTTGTGCCAAATGCTATATGCATCTATTTCTTTACCTATATGATGTAAGATGCTCCATTCAACCCACTGCCTAATCTATCAAACAACCTTTCTATTCAACTTCTTCCAATCTTCATCAGTTTTAGAATCGGGTTTATTGCCATTCGATCCAATGAGTTCAAAAAAAGACTTTACAATACAAAATATTGTCAATCCTAGTCTTCCAAATAGAACAATTTGAATATGTGAGTTTAACAATGTCACTAGTTGAACCCTCCATTTTCATTCTCACAAGAAATCTAGAGAATTAATTCTAATCAATGAGATACACAGTCAATCTTCTCCAAAACAAACTTCAGAGGCTACCAATACAATACTAACACATAGTTCTTGGATAACAACAACATTACTTAGAGATCTGTCAACGAGTTGAAACTTGGGCTCGAGAGACTGGAATGGTTATCATATGTGACAATTTGTTATTTGAGACAACAAAATTATAAGAAATTAGAACCTCAAATAACAAGCTGCCATATAGAATGGCTAATGAAGTCGCTGAATATGAATAACACTATTTATTGGGATGAGGGAAGACAAGAAAAGTAAATAAAATTAAGAATTTATTTATTTTATCAAACGTGAAAATCTTGTGCTTTTTAATGGGTCAACTCTAGTTTGCATGCCGCGATCATCTATTTTCCCATCAACTGCCCTATAGGTTCACGTTCTGCAAATAGCATCTACTGCAACTCTAATAGGAAACTGCTTATTTTAGTATCTTCAAATAGGTCTAAAAATTAAACATAAATAATACAAACCAATATGATTCCACCAGTTATAAGATGTTACAAAATAGAAAGTAGACATTCTACATGATCAGGGGAAACTCTTAAAATTCCACCTCTTTAAAGGAGCTCTCGAGTTTTATCTGTCATTTTGAATGAATAATTGCTGTATATCCTCATCTTAAAAGAGGAATAAAGCCATTCAAGTTGCTGTATCGACTATCCATGTAGAATCTTGGCATGTAAGGCTAGCAAATGCTACCTTGTAAGCAATAAATACCTCTGCATTAGATGCAACTGCTGCAACCTCCTTTTGTTCTTTCTATTCTTCACCTTTCTATTTTAACTGTTTTCTTTTCCATTTTCTACACTCCTTTTTAAGATGCCCGAGCTTGCCACAATGATAACATTTTATGCTTTTTCTTGACTTCAATCTTCCTCCAATCATCACCATAGGTTTTTCTACTTTGGCTTCTTTCCCGTCTCTCTATAACAAGTGCTTCAGAATTAGAAGTACCATGTTCTTTTCTTCTAGCATCTTCTTTGAACATACTATCTTTCACCATGTCGACAGTTATCGCACCATTTGGAGCAGAATTACTCAAAGAGACGACTAAAGTTTCCTAGTTGTCTGGTAAGGAACTCAACAAAGTAAAGCCTGCACCTTATCATTTAGTATAAGCTTCATGGTAGACAACTCATTCAACAACTCTTGAAAGCTACACAAGTGCTTTGCAACACTATTACCATCCTTGTACTTCAAATTTACAAGCCTATAGACCCTCTAATTTGTGCCAAATGCTATATGCATCTATTTCTTTACCTATATGATGTAAGACGATCCAATCAACCCACTGCCTAATCTATCCAACAGCCTTTCTATTCAACTTCTTCCAATCCTCATCAGTTTTAGAATCGGGTTTATTGCCATTCGATCCAATGAGTTCAAAAAAAGACTTTACAATACAAAATATCGTCAATCCTAGTCTTCCAAATAGAACAATTTGAATATGTGAGTTTAACAATGTCACTAGTTGAACCCTCCATTTTAATTCTCACAAGAAATAGAGAGAATTAATTCTAATCAAAGCCTTTCACTATAAAGAATGATGAGATACACAGTCAATCTTCTCTAAAACAAACTTCAGAGGCTACCAATACAATAAGAACACATAGTTCTTGGATAACAACATTACTTAGAGATCGGTCAACAATTTGTTATTTGAGACAACAAAATTATAAGAAATTAATACCTCAAATAACAAGCTGCCATATAGAATGACTAATGAAGTCGCTGAGAATATGAATAACACTATTTATTGGGATGAGGGAAGACAAGAAAAGTAAATAAAATTAAAAATTTATTTATTTTATCAAACGTGAAAATCTTGTGCTTTTTAATGGGTCGACTCCAGTTTGCATGCCGTGATCATCTGTTTTCCCATCAACTGCCCTATAGGTTCACGTTTTGCAAATAACATCTGCTGCAACTCTAATAGGAAACTGCATATTGTAGCATCTTCAAATAGGTCTGCTAATTAAATATAAATAATACAAACCAATATGATTCCACCAGTTATAAGGTGTTACAAAATAGAAAGTAGACATTCTACATGATCAGGGGAAACTCTTAAAATTCCACCTCTTCAAGGGAGCTCTCGAGTTTTATTTGTCATTTTGAATGAATAATTGTTGTATATCCTCATCTTAAAAGAGGAATAAAGCCATTCAAAATGGATGTATCGGCTGCTGAAATTTGTGAGAGCATGTTAGGCTAAACTTAAAAAGGTAAGTAAAAGTGATTTCCAAACATGTTTACATATTTGAAACTCACACTTATCTTAGTGGCAAAAAAAATAAAAAAATAACTAGCATGAGGCTGACCTTCGTTTCAATAGTTGCCCTTTGAGCTGCTAGTGGAACCTGATCTCGTGTGGATATCATCTGTTTCGTGTATAAATATCTGAGGCGGCTCTTCTCTGTCACAATCGAAGTGAACTGAATTATATGGATGAATGCCTCAACATATATCGTAAAAATGGATATGTCCAATATAATGCAGAATTCTCATACCTTAATTAGAAGAACTATTATTTTCGTGCAACAGTATCCATCATCTCATTCACGGGAATCAATTTACTGAGACTACCAACTCGACAAGAACTTTCATAAAAACGATTCTCAAATCCATTCAACATTATTCTTTAAGGTATCCCAACTCCCGTGAACCTTTAGATTGTTCATTAAATAGAGTATTGCCGTTCCACATAATCGTATCCCTTTATACTCAAAAGTTATTTAACAGAACTATTACCAATATAGTTTTTACTTAAACATGGAGAATTGATATGAAATGTCCTCCAGAAATTTAACAATATTATGATAAATCGAAGACCCGGTAAATCACAAGCCCTAACAAATGACAAGGATTAAAGTGTGCACAAAAGAAAAAGGAGAAGAGGCAAAATAACAATAGCAAAAAAAAAAAAAATTATCTCTAGAGAAGTTCTCATGATAGAAAAAAATATATTCAATGAACTTAAAACTTATTGGGCATCAGAAATATAATTCGTATTCAATGACAGTTCATGGACATGAAGTAAGTTAAATGAACGAAAAAAAAAAGTTATTAACCTTTCATTAGCCTCTTGGTAAGTATAACTTGATGCAACAGCTAAAAGTTGACCATTGTGGTTGTATGACATAGAAGCAACGCTGTTTGGATATCTTGGCAACTGAAATTAAGAAAAATGAAGTCTAACTATAAAGGCTCCAAGAACAGAAAAGCAACTAAAACTAGAAAATACCAACTTAGATACATTGGGAAGGAAACACATAAAAGTAGAACTTGGCTGTGAAGCACGGAAACGTAGACTAAAATAGTATAAAACTACAATATATATATATATATTCCTTTATTTTATACTTTTTTTATTTTTCAATAATATTAATACTTTCTTTAAGGAAATTTGGAAATTTTGCAGGTCAAATCTTCTGAATTTAAAGGGGGATTATTTGTTGCGCTAATATAACTTTTTATTTTGCATCACACGTGCCAATTGAAAAAATATTCATGTATAGAAAAAGTAAATTTAGTAGATATAAAATGTAGGAATACACTGAGCATAAGGAAGAACCACATATATAATTGCTTAAAAATGTGCTATTCTTTAATTTATTATTTAGTTTATGAATTGCACCACTTTGGCGTTTAACATCACATTTCTTGGATGCTAAGGTATATAATCCATTGCATATCTTGTAGGTTTGGAATTTTCATTTTATTTTGACTTTTCTACCTAAATGGTTTAACCAAATTTCCTAATTTTCTATTTTTAAATGTTCCTCCTGTTTGTAACTTCGCCGTAAGAAGCACTCAACCTACGGGAACTATTCAGAATGTGAACAAAGGGGTACCAGCGCAATGATTCTCTCTCAAAATCCAAATATCAATTACAAGGCATTAATTGTATCTTGTGAAATTAACGTTATAAAATATGCTAATTCGTCGGCAGCATAAGCAATCTTTTAGAAGATAAGATGAAATATACCTCCACTAATCGTCTCTTGCTACGAGCATCCCAAGTTGTTGCATAGCCCTCATTGTCACCAGTGACAAAAACACCACCATTGCTGAATAAGAGAAGAATTATACTGTCATGCGAGTTGTAAAAGTCCATCATAGCAAGCTGAAAATGAAAGCAACACATACGACGGACTAAATGCAATGTCATTCACTGCTACAAAATGATGTCTTCCATTCTTCCCCTTTGGATGGCATCTAAAGGCATATCTGCAGAAATTCAAGAAACAAGTGACGATATGTTTCGATAACACACTCCTTGGAATACGTTTGATATAGATATATAGAACAATTTAAACAAAGTGTGTGTACATGCAGTAGTTACATTTTACTATTAAAAAATATCCATCTAGAAAATTGAAAGGTTGTATATTTACACATTTAGTAAAAGATCATGGGTGTGCATAAGTTATAGAACTCTCAATCATAAGATAACGTGGAAATTATTGTAATGTTAGCGGAGATCACTGGATAATTGGGATATTATTGTGAATGTTAGTAGAGACATGGAGAATTATTATGGATATCTCATGGAATCATATATTATTTCTTCATAAATCTTAAGGGGGTGTCAAAAACCTATAGATAGAAGAATGAAGATAACAAAATCTATTAGCTTCCATACTTGCATGTGTCGGTACATGAAAGTAATATCTACACATTCAACGCACCAAGGAAATTATACCATTTCTTTTATACCATCAGGAATTCAAAGTATCTTGTCCTTCTACAGAATGTAGGAAACTTAGAAAAAAAGAAGGAAACGAAACATTTGAGTCATCAATTAGTTTAACAAGTATCAGATCTGGAAATTCTGCAATAAAACATGCAATGCAAAGTGCATGCTCATTAATACCTGCATTGAACTTCATAAATAAAAGATATATGTAATGCTCTTCACATGGTAAGGATGCTAGCAAGCAATTATTCTCATCATCAAATTAGAATAATATGCAACATGTTATCACGGTCCAAAATTAGAAAAATAAGAAAAAAAATTTTAAGCATATATCAGGCAGCCAAATGAAAGCCAAAAAGGAAAGAAAGTTAAAAATATCAATGGAGTCATCCAAAGCCTTTGATCTCTAAATATCAGACTAAAGCATTAACGAATTATACCGACCCTTCATTCTTTGACTTGGATTGGCCAAGATACTCCAAAGCAACCCTTCCATCTGTTGATCCAACCACAAAACCTGAACAAGTGGTCATCACCCGTTTAATTGACACAGATGAACTCAAAAAAAAAGGGAATTGAAAAATTAATAAAATCTTAGACATATCAGGAGAGCATCACTTAAATTATGCCTAAATTGACACAACAGTTATTAAAAAAAGTAATTGAGTATTGTTAAATTCAAGTCTAGCTCATTACGGAATTATGCCCCTCTTTGGTGGGAATTAAAATCAGATTTTGAGTAGATTTTGATCAAAATTGATTAAACGTATGGTTGAAAAGTAGTGAATCCCATGAAACATGTGGTTAAAATTAATTTTTGACTTACACTTAGATTAAAATCTAGATTATAATTCCTACCAAATAGGGGCTATATTTCCTATTATAATTGATCATGAATTACTAGCAATTCAGATGAGGCAATCTCAAGCATTTAGGTACAGCTAACGGTGAAAGCCATGCATTCCTGTCAATATGATAGCATAAAATATTTTTGCAGTACCTTCAAAATTATGAATAGGGCGAACACATTTTAATTGGATGTCCATAAATGATTCTTTGGCTTGAACTGATTTGTGGTAGTTGCGCAAGTCATAAATACATACTGATGACCTGATAGCAACCATCAAATTGAACCCAGAGAGTGACAGAGACTCCACTTCCACATCCAGATTATTCAGGCATCCAAGAGACCTAGTAGCTCGTGAATCCCAAAACATTATCTTTTTATCCCAACCAGCAGTGACAATTAGACCTAAACACAAACAAAAAGAAACTAGTTGGTTAATACTTTTTCAGGATCACAAACATATGACAAGACTAAGAGCACAATGATAATTTTGTTTGTTTCTCGTATTATCCAATATAGTCTGAAAGAAGTAAAAATTCTACTTGCTACTGTAAACCTCGTCCCTGGTTGCTGGACTTCAAAATGATCATTGGTTAAACACTCAATCTTACTACACTCTGACATTCATTTACTAAAAACGCTCAAACTGCATTTAATCTTCATGGATGGAATACTCATCATTACTTCCAATTATGATACCACCATAGTCTTTTATAACTGCAATAAGCTACAACAATAAATCAACAAACTAGCCATTATTCTCTACAAATTAGAGTTGGAGTACTTGAAGCTTTCTTCGCCATACCGCTCTGTTCATTGCCAATCTACTAGGAGATTTAAAACAAATAGATCTTCTCTCTCTTCTACTTTTCTCAACCAATATTGCGTCACTCGTATGAACAGGACAATATTTAGGTCGGTGCAAAACATAAGCCAACCACCTAAGTTCCTTTTTTAATTTATGGCATCACCTCCACTTGCTGGCATGTATACTCATTTCTTAACTTACCTATTGTAGTACATTCATAAATCCACAATTTTGAACTTATCCATTTTAGTGTGACCACTCATCTACCAAGCATCCACATATCAGCTACATTCATCTTACGGACATCTTAACCTTTAATGGCTTAGTGAGAACTATAGAGTAAAATTTTCCTTTTAACCTTAATAGAATCTTACAGTTCAACTAAACATCTAGAATTGTCATAGATTCTTCTAAACAAGAATTGCGATCAGAAAGATCATGATGACAACATTCAACTGGATGCCATAAATATGGAAGAAGTTATGTTCCTTAATATACAGGCCAAGACAGAGAGCATATCAAGCATTAGTTTAAGCAGTTATCCAAAGCATACGTTGATATAAGTGTATGTAATTATACTGCAGACATGACGGGTTTGAATGTAGACAGCAAGAGTAAAATTAGAACCTAGCAAAGGTGAAACATATGCTAATATTATCTTACATGTTTCATCAGAATATTCAGCGCAGGTTGCTAAATCGTCATGATTCCCAATCGTAACACTGGTTCCTAAATGCATATCATACCTAGCAAAATTTAAAGTGAGACATGAAATAGAGCCTCCTGATCATATTGTGCAAGCAATTTAAAGACAAACATGAGAAAGTCAGTTGCCCACACAAAGTTCATTTGATACTCATTCACGATCTTTTCATTGCATAATGTGGCAAAATTGGTTTGATGTTTAATCTTATCCATTTCTGCATGTGGATCAGATAAGTAATTTAGTTAGCTTCAAAGTCGATCAGTCACCATCAACCTTAAAAAGTGTCTGCTTTGTAAACAAAGGTTTGAAATGAAGTCAAATGGTAAGCAATTTAATCTTAAGAAAAATAAAAGCTTGAGTACATCGTAAGGCAAGAGGTTGTTTAATTCAGTTCTTATTTTCCAACTTATTTAACGTAGTTATTGAAACTTGGCTTTAAAACTAATGTTCTTTTAAAAACTGAATTGTTGATTGGTTGGCAATATACTTCTTCATTTAAAAAAACAAAGAAAACAGAAAAAAAAAAACGAGTACTATGAAAAAAAAAATGAAGTCATGATGCATAAGATTTTGAAACTAGATATAAGTGTTGTAGCTTGTTCCTTATTGAGGCTTGAGTATGGAGAAGCTTCTATTGTAAATTAAGAATGTTTTAGAAAGGAAAAAAAATAAAAATAAAGGTTTGAATCAAAATGAAAGACCCGACTCCTCTCTCTCCTCTTCTTTTTTGTAATCATCAATCAGTATGAGGCAATGGACAGAACCAGTTGCAAGCATGAGAAAGACATGGAAAAAGATGAGATAGAGATCATCCAGGATCATATAACCTTCAATTACCAGTGCTTCCAGGACACCAAAAAAAGAGATACGGTGCGTACACAGTAAGCGAAGAATGCAGACATACTTGTGTATTGATTGACATTTGACACTTAGCAAAAGCAGGTAAATGATAAACAAATTCCTTGGGATATTTTCAATATATGCAATTCATTATTTTCAGCTTTTTCAGTTCCATTCTGTTTATTTGAAATCCTCAAGCATAAATCTACATCAGCATGTTGTTGAATGTAGCCTTAAACTTTTAGCTTACATGACATCAAATTATACGTGTGACGTAGTTATTCACTTGTGGTGAGACTTTGAGCCAAATGACCACTTCACACGTCAATTTAGTACCAAGGTTGAAAGGTGAAATAGATTTTACAGTAAGCTTTAATTGGGTCCTTTTAGAAGCATTTGGGACATAGAATCTGTTCAAATATAAAGTTATAATGTAAAATTGCTACAGAACAACATTATTAGCATCCGTAGTGTCCAGAAGGACTAGTTACACCAAAAAGACAAGAAATTTATCGCTACTGGATGCATCTATTTATATGTTTGGTTGTACTTAAACCTTAAGACTTACTTTACACGAGAGCAAGTTTCGTTAGTCAAAAATGCAAATTTAAAAATTAAGTGATTAAATAAAATAAGTACAACCAGGCTAGCTCATAATACGTCACTTAAGCTTATATTCAGCAATCATCAGGAATGAAAAACCTGCAGATAGAACCATCAGAGCCAGCACTTAAGGCCACCGAATCGCTCTCGAAACAACAATCAAGAAGTGCAGCCTCTGTAGGAACTTCTAATCTGAGCTCAGATTTATCCACATTGAACAACCGAAGACTCTGCTTATACACACAGCCAACTCATAATCACATTACACATGATACGTGTATAATCATATAGATACAGCAACACATATCTAGCAATATGATGAAATTAAGGGTGTCAGTCAGGCATATACTCACAGAATCCCAAGAAGAGATTAGGAGATTATTGTAGAGCGGAGCAAACCGGATCCTGGAAATGGCGTCTCGAATGGGGTTCTTGAAATTCAAGCAATCTCCGTTCATACTGGAACTAATTACAGTTTTTGAGTATTGAATTGGGGCGAAACCCTAATGGGGTTTACGTTGCTTGATTCTGACCGCGAGTCAGAAAAGATTTTAATGGAAACTTGGATTTGAGCAGGGTTTTGGACTTATGGCTGCCTCTAAATCGATTAAGTCAAATTTTTGCCCACACCCGCCTATTAGATCTTCGAATTTTCCCCTGCCCAGAAATCAATTCTCGAATTTCAGGGCATTTTCTGCGCTCCCATCTCCATTCCCTTTTTATGCTGAAGATTTCGATTACAAGGCCCCAGATTTTGATCTGAACCACAATTTGGAGGAGTTAAAGGAAAACGAGGACACTGGAAAAATCCACCAGGTTCATTTCTCGTCCACTGTGTATATGTATAAATTGGATATATATTTCTTCAAAAAAACTGGGGGTACAGGAAATTTTTAACAGAATTTAAACAGAAATTCAAATTTCACTCTGCCCACGTGAATTAAAATATTGGCAAAAACCCCCCACCACCCCTGCTGTGTGTGTCTGGCAGATACGGGAATTTGAATTTCTTATGAGGGCATGCAGTTGTATTTATTTCCATTATCCCAATATTTCAGGGAAGTTAACGGGTGTGGATGGTGGATAGAGAAAATTGTTGATTTTTTGAAAATTTTTGGTTTTGTTGTTTGAAATCGATTGAAAGTTGCTTATTTTATTTAAACAAAAGCCTATTTTTTTTACATGAAAATGTATAATTTTTACTCAATAATCATGAATTTGGTTCTCTGCAGGTTTTGTTGTTTGAAATCGATTGAAAGTTGATTATTTTATTTAAACAAAAGCCTATTTTTTTACATGGGAATGTATAATTTGTACTCAATAATCATGAATTTGGTTCTCTATAGTGTGGTATTTGGTTGTTGATATAGAAATTTGCGATGAATAGAGGTAGACCTAGGATTTTTGGTAACTCTAGGGGGAGAACGTGCGTTACGCTAGTTGGTTAATATTAAAAATAAATGTAGGTAAATTTGGGAGAAATTCATTGGCATATGTAAAAAAGTTTCAAATTGACTTACTTTTCATCTATTTTCTTTGAATATTATTTATTGTTTGGATGAACATTTGGTATTAATTTAAATATATTAAGAATGAATATACACAGTGAAAAGATTCCATTACTTGCAAGTTCAAAATAGAAGCTAAAAGTAGAACAATTATGGAGCCAAACTACAAATAATGTTCGGCTCAATAACTGCTTCATGAGTGGTTTAAAATACAAGTGACATTTTAAAGGTCATTTACAAAATCCAAAAGCTATTTGCTGCTACATGTTGCACTTTAAGAGATTGTTTGGGAGATATTTTAATCCAATTAAAATTGAAAATATAGTCATTATTGAGTCTCACTCGTCTAATAAAAGTCAACAATAACTGCTAGTTTTTTAATTTTAATCCGATTTTAATCTCTATCAAACAAGCTCTAAATTGGAAAGAGACAAAAAGAAACAAAACCCATTTCTAACTTGCACTATTGCTACAATGCTTAAACATTTTGAATCGTTGGATTCATCCACTGCAGTTCCTTTGCCTTTGCCACCATCATCTTTCTCATCTTCTTTGTTTTTGGAATATCAAGAACTGGAATCTAAAAATAATACCATTTTGTTTATTGTAAAATGTAAAAACATTAAAGAAAAACAAGAAACGAAATATCACAACTTAAATTACCCATGTTGTTGCTCTGGTAAGTAATAATCTACACAAACAATTTTTTTATGAACTATGACATGAACGTTTTGAAGCATCTAAAGGAGCAGAAATAGAGCCCAGTAGGAAAATTAAAACTAACTATTATCTTGGTAGACTACCCAATTCAATCTTCCATATTTTTCTGCCTAACAGAAAACAAGAGAAGCTAATATTTGAATGAAAATGAGAATACACGGACCTCTTCGCAAGCATAGCATATCCCTCTTCATAAAATTCCTCTTCAACTCCAAAGTCAGTTGATTTATAAGTTCCTTTAGTAGAATATTGAGACTGCTTTCGAAAGATAAGCAATGGGTTGAGCAAACCCCGTTTGACATCCATTTTCTTTTCATTCTCATTCTCATTTTTCTTCTCTTTCTTCATTTCAACCACGCATTCTATCAATAAAATAATACTACACATAAACCCAAAAATTTTCATTACTTTTCAACCACACATTCTTCCATCAATCACTATTTCAGAATTTATTTTTTACCCAAAATGGGTGTCAAACATGGGTGTTTGGGGCAAAATTAGATGGTCATGAGGAATAATATCAACAACCAAGCAAGTTGTTGTTGACCTATGGTTCATCCTTAATGTTTTGATTATAACAAACAAGATTAATATTACTTCTAACAATTGATTTTGAGTGATGATAGTTCAACGTTAAAATCAATCAAGTATTGCAAAAATCAACACATCATAAATCGGACTCGAAATGAAGGTCAAAGTGAAAATTAAGCATTCAAGTCAAATTATTCAAGACGAGAGCTTAAAAGATCAAAATCAAGACTATCAGATCGAGCTCATGATGAAGAACAAGATCAAGAGTTTAAGAGCCAAATATGAAAGAAATTTCGAAGCAAGATCAAATACTAGACTTTCGAGATCATATGTAAAGGTATAACACTTTGATCTTTAGTCATGAATGACAATAGCTCAAAAATCATGTTGTGCACCAAAAGTTAATTTCATATCACTTGCATAAAATATTTTTTTATCAAAAGTAAGATTGATCATTCAAAGTGTACTTGAACTTAGATCATATCTCAAAAAAAAAAAAAGGTCAACGATCAACCGATTGACCAGGCGATCGACTTGCCAAAAGTGGCAGTCTATCGGACGTCTCCAACAGACCGATTTTTTACCATTCTAGCCTCTGATTTTTCATGTTCAAACAATCATATTGATCATCTGGAAATTGGTGGTCGATCGGACCGATCATCCGGTTTGATAGAAAATTTGGTATTTTTCATTTCTATAAATACCAACTCTCTTGTCATTTATAACAACACTTGAGAGCATTCAAATGAGATACTTTTTAACAAAATTATATTGATTTCTCATCCCATTTATTATTATCAAATCATTTATTTTTGAAAAGCTTTTGATCAAATTAACTTTTGAAAATTTACTCATCAAAGTTTTTCATTTGAAAAATATTCTTTGAGCTTATATTTTTACATTCATTTTAATTTGTTTCTTCATAGAAAAAACTTTGATTGTTGAATCAAAATTTTTTAATCATTTCTCCTATCAAAGTTTTTCATTTCTGTTTGTGCTTAATTTATCTATATCAATTTTGAAATAGATATATTTTTGANTTCTTCTTCTTCATATTGAAACTTTGATTGATTGAACTAAACTTGTAAAATCATCATATTTATCAAAGTTTCTCATTTCTCTCTTAGTACTTAATTTATTACAATCATCCATTAAAAGAAAGATATTTTTTGAGAAAATTTTTGAACATACATTGTATTTATTTCTCCATCTTCTCATTAAAACAATTTGATTGATTGAATCTAATTTTTGGCTATCATATTCATCAAAAAATTTCATCTAACACTTGATCTGTTATTTGTTACTATCCATTGAAGTATTAGCCTATCTTGGTACTTAATTTGTTTGTATTATTTATCAAGAGAGAAATTTCATTGTAAAATCACTTTGATAAAGTGTAGGTCGTGTTGAAATCCCTTAAAGATCAACATTGTATAAGAATCGGTGCTCCTTGTTGTAAGTCACCGTGTGGGTCATATGAGGTCATGTAAAGTTCAATAGTGTGGGTCATGTTGAGATCCTATAAAGCTCAACATTGTATAAAGATCAGTGCTGCTTGTTTGTAAGTCACCGGGAGCGTTGTAAAGGGTTACATTGCACCATAAGTCAATCAACATAGTGAAAATGCATTGCTCGTGTCGAAAAGCTTGGTAACGGAGGACGTAGATCATTACTTTGGATTGAACCTCCACAATTATATCGTTTGCATTATCCCCCCTTTTACTTATCGCTTTTATATTTGTGCTTACTATTTGAATAAATCTATTTAGTCTTTGCTTATTTGAATTTACATTAATTCTTCGAAAAAAAATTAAAAACCAATTCACCCATTCTTAGTTAGTTATTCTTGGGCTATCAGTTGTTTCATCTTTCAAACCCCGTGACTTCAGTGCTTTCTACGAAAAGAAAGAATAACCATAGTGTTCTATAGGCAAGACGTAAAAGAACAATGTGCAAAATTAAATATTTATTAGTGATGCATACCTTAACAACCACCTTTGCATCAAGTTTTGTAGGTAAACCTGGACAAACCCACCGACCGTACCGGAAATGTTTAGTATGATATCTTAAAGTGAAGTATTTACAGCAAGTTGATAAGGAATGGAAAGAAAAATATATTGATCTTACCCCCATTGCCCCCATAAACATTGAGCCTCCTTATTTGACCACCAGTTGCAGTTACAGCTCCCGTTCTTTTGCATTCTCTTCTAGACGATGGTCAATCGTCAAGAGTGAAACAATACCCCCTTGAGCGTCCAATATTCACCGATAATCTCCAACAGATGTAACAGTCACAGTCCAGTAATCAATCACGTCTAGAAGTCTCATCTCCGACAAAATAAGAAAGTAAGACAGGTCAAATGGTCAGTAAAGTGCACATAAAAAAGGAAAAGAAAATAAAGAAGCTTCTAAGAAATAAATTTCATGCTTGCCCCTTTGTTGAAACTCTATATCAGCTTTCACAAATCCAACAACTAACGCCCAATGCAGGGCCTGAAGCCATTCTTCCCTATCAAGCCCTTTAGGATTTACACTCAAAACGTTGTTTAATAAATTCTCTTTAGCAAAGATAGCAGCCGACATACTATTATACCTTATAAGTGTGTTTTGCGCACTTATTTAGGTCACAAAATATGAAAAATTATTGATGTATATATTAAAATATAGTATAACTCGATATAATTTGTATTTGTAGGATT